TATATGTATATATATGTATGTATGTATATGTATGTATATATATGTATATGTATGTATAGTACTCTTTCATTTTTATTAGGACAATTAGATTTTGATAGAGAATTTATTTTTTTATTAAATTTATATTTGTTTATTATATGTAGTGGATCATAATCATAATATTAATCTATAGAAAAATATGAGAGTGTGTATATGAATATTCTTTAGGTTGAGGGAGCGTTTAGGCCAAAAAGTAGGCATGAAGTTGTTTTTGGAAAAAACAATTTTATAGGTGTTGTCAGAAAGCTATTGTTGCAATAATAAGATTTTGTTTGAATAATATTTTGTGTTGCAGTTGTTCCTAATGTAAACAAAAGTTTTACCCTGACATGTTAATTAACAGAGTGACTACTATTTTCAAATTAATTATAGCAGAATAACACATAAAGCTCCAGCAATACAGAAAACATGTTATGAGTTAAAATTTCTTCAATACATCAATTGTAAGTCATCATTTTCATGCATAATACAACAATAACAAGAACTACTAAAATAACCAGCAATACTATAATGACGATCGCCTTCATATTCAGAAGATCAAATATTTAGATTAATTTTTTATCTATAGCATATGATCTGACTGGATTACTTCTGGTGCGAACACATCCATGTGATTAGCCCATAAAAAATACATGCAAAATTCACTTTTTTTTTTTTGGGAACATAATAAAATCTCCTCACATAGTTGCATTCTCTTCTTGACGTGTATTCAGAACATTGTGTTTCACAGTGATAATAGATAACTCTTAAAGTACTTGATAACTTGAACTCATTTTTTTCAAATATTATAATACATTTTGTTTTTAATTAACAAATTGGAGTAGATATGAAATAGAATAAAAAGATAAATATTTGGTTTCAAATTATAAAAAAAACACACAAGGAAAAAATATGCTTTCATAATGTTAGAAATCAACATATCATCAATACAAAACACTATATAAATATATAAAATACACATCAACAAATCCTCAATAGATCTTAAATAGTAAATATTTAAAAGAAGACATTACAATATGCTACATAAATATACTTGATGAATTCACCAAAACATATGTAATCTATTCTCTTAATTGCATTATTTCCTGAACACCCTCCCCATCGGATGCGTTGAAGTCATTTGTACTAAGTCTTCATTAGGCAATGATTGTCTTGCCCGATGTTTGAATGCTTCCACAAAAATGCATCTTGGATCTTTGTCTAAAACCTTGAAATCAATATCGTCTCGAGATGGATGCCTCCGTAAAAGAATTTGTAGTGTGTCATTGCAACAACTATTTTTATCTGTTTTTTGAAGGAATATGTGGACATATCTCAGAGTATTACTCGCTTCTTCTTCCATACTCTGAATGTACTCTTGATAACACTGTGTGATGATGAGTGTTTTTTGTTGAATAATTCTTTCCTCCCTTTAATAACTTAGTTGTTGCTCTCAAAATCGTAAATGTGGTACCATGTTGGGAAGGGTTTTAAGAAACCTTGTAGCAATGGTAATCTCGAATTGACGAGGTAATATTTTCTTGAATAATGACATCATTACTACATATCCTTAAATCAAACGCTTCATATATGGTCAAAGAATGTACTAACCTGGTAGAGGCATTGGAAATTTGTATTCAGGCAGCTGAGTAGCGAATTTGAATATGTGACTATCATGAGTACTCTCTTTTCATCCAACCATCAATAATGTAAAACAAATATATGGTCAAAGAGTGTACTAACTGCTAAGATGTTTTGTGTAGCACATCCAAAACATCCAATATATGTAATATTGTCATTGTTACCAACACGTGCATTTACATGTGTACCACAACAAGAAGCAACAAACAACCACCACAGATGGCAATTGAGAAGCCCAAATTACATAATCACAAAGGTTAAACAAGAAGCAACAAATCACTTTCACAGAGGACAATCGAGAAGTCCCAATGGCACTCAAAACTTGAACATCACATGATTCGTCTAAATATACATATCAAACAACTAAACATTAATATTTTCTTATATAAAACTCAAATTGTTAACATTACATAAAAATGTCATTGATAGCAATTTTTTAAAACTGAATTACACACTCTTACGTAAGCAAATTTCAAATTTTAGGCGCAAGATATGCGCAAGCATAAGAATTGTGTGATATGCTTGCAAGTTTCCCTTCAAACAGTACTGCACAGTTCAAACGACAAACACCGAACCACCACCAACGAGTAAGACAAAGATGCCCCAATTGCAGATTCACTTAGTGAAAATTTAACTCAATAATTCTTTTTTTTTTTGTTCCTTAATGATGATGCTCATTTTTATTTTAAGTGATTTGTCCTCTTTAGAGGAATTTTTTTTTGAATAAATCATTGCAAGGCTTTGTAGTATGCAACTCTATAATGGTTTAGTTTTGGGGCATTTACATACATACCCCACAATTCTTATATATTTACACATCTAGGATCTAAACTTTTATATTTTTATATATAACACTTAAAACTTTGACTTCACATAAAAAATATCACCATCATTGATTTTTTTAAAGTGGAATATATCTTTTAACAACAAGGCTTTAGAAAATATCAAATGTTATAAATGTAAATATCAAATTTTAGGTGTACTGCATGTAAATGTATCAACATTGTGAGGTATATATGTGGAATTTCAAATTCAGTTTTTTATGTGCATAAGAAAATCGAGAAGCACAATAAGAAAATCACATAGGTAAAAAAGAAAACAACAAACCACCACTATAGAGAAAAATTGAGAGGTCACACAACAAAATCACATATCGGTAAAACAATAAGCAAAAAATCACCACCACAGAGGAAAACCGAGAAATACAAAGGAGGTGGCAATAACGATTCCAAATAGAGGGGAGAAGAGCAAAGGACCGCGAATTTACCCTAACAATCGCAACGAAACCAAATGGAGGGAGAAGAGGACCGCAAATTTACCCTAACACCCGCAACGTTGTTGAATGGAGGGAGAAAGGGGAGGGTAATATCGGGGATAAAACATGATATTTATCGAAGTGATGAGGGGTAGAATAATCTTTTTGTACCTGGGCTGCAATTAGAACCACAGAACGGAGGCCAGTGTTGTCGTCGTTCGACGTTTTGTGCTTCCAAAAATAGTCTTTGGGTAAAAGCATGCGAAAAGCGGGTTCCCAAATGCACAAGAACTACTTGTCAAAATGAAAAGCACTTAGAAAGCTCCCCCAAATGCACTACGAGTGTTGTGAGGGAAGTGAAAAAATCTCTCTCCTATTGGAAGCATTAAAAGAGCAAATATAGTGAACTAGGATAAACAACACAAGCATCATGCTCTTAGATGTGATATGAATTGTCAAAATAAAATTTAAAGATAACAAAAATATGATCTCCATGATTTGATTAAAAAAGAAAATCTAATTTCAATATTATAAATATGGAGGAATATAAATTAAAAATTATTAAATTTATTAACTTCTATTCTAATTAAATGTTAAATGTTAAATCAACCATTTTCTAAGAATTAAAAAGTGGAAGTTCACGAGTAAAGAAGCCTTCATCAAATTAGTTTTAGTCCATAGAGTTGTTGCCCAAGTATTTGATTCAATCTTTATCCTTCACATGTCTTGAAGGATCCTTTTTGGGGAGCCAATTGGGAATGCTTCTTAAGGATATCTATTTAGAATTCATCTAAGAAAAACTTCTTATAGTTTTCTCTTAAAAAATTCTCTCAATCGTGACTATAATTTTCTTGTTTTGTAAATATACAACCAAAAGTTTTTGGATCAGGTTCATGGGAGCACAACTAGTTTATTCGTCGAAGAGAATAACTCATCTCTATAGAGATGAACTCTCTTGGGAGACGAATTCTTGGCATCTCGACCTCTGTCGAGGAAAAAAACATCTTGGTGGTCTGGAAAGATTTGGATCAGTAAGTTTTTTGACCATGCATCAAAAGGTTTACTGATTAGAAAAGATTTATTGGGTTCGCCTTCGGTCGTCGATATCTCAAGTATGGTTTTGCTGGTCTCGAGACCCCCCTTCGGGCATATTTTAATGATAGAGTGGCTCCCGCTTGACGCTTCCGACCGCTCAGAGG